ATAATCTGATGTTGGCAAAAAAGGAGCATGGAGGAGGAAGGGAAAAAATTAGAGAATGTGTTATGTACATTTACTAATTCCCCACAGGGAATGTAATCATTATATACTGCAAACATGTACTAATGAAAAATTTAAAAAGTAATATGAAATAATGTACATACAGGAAACTATACAAGACAAAAATAGAGTGTTCACTGACTTGTCGTTAAGTGACCATTTAATAATCAGTACCTCAATAACTCTCCATTTGCTCCTTCTTATTTTTATTCTCTTCCTCCCTCTTTTAAATAATCACTCTTTTATTTTTCCTCATGATGCAGTTTACATGTCCTTTCAGAAGGTTTATGTATAAGGAATAATTTTGCATGCATTTTTTGGCTTCTGGTCATTATATTTATAAGACTTACTCGTTTGCATGTAGTTTTAGTTCATTTGTTTCTATTACTATGTAATACTCCACTGTATGAACATTCATTATTTTATTTTTAAAAGAGAGTACAAATTGGAATTAAAACATAAAAAATTACAAGTGATACAGAATTTCACTTAACAAAGTAACATGAATTTCACAGTATTTCTTGTAATGTTGTCTTCCAACAACTTATTCCTATTACCAGGCATATACATGTAAAATGGAAGAAGAAAGAAAAAGAGAAATAAATGTATAAGAAATTAAGAAGAGAAAAAGTACAAACAGTTGAAAAAAGGAGACAAAACAAATTAAATATTATCTGCTCCTTTCCATAGATCAGCAGAAATGCACAGTACAGTTTTCTAAACCATCCTGCTTACATGCATAGATAAATCTTTTCCCCCCACTACCTCTCCTGTCCTTCTCCTCAACTCAGTAACTCTTTCCTTTATCCCGGTATCTGTTACACCCTTCAGATTCCATTTTTCTCTTTCAGGTTTTTTACACCAAGGAGACAATATGATGTTTGCACATGTGGGTTTGATTTATTTCACTTGAGTATGTTCTTTAGTTGCAACCATTTACTGACAAAAGACTCATTTATCCTGTTTTATGGATGAATAATATGCTATTGTGTAAAAATACCACATCTTCTTTATCCATTCCTCAGTTGATGGGCATTGGGGCTGTTTCCAGGATTTATCTATGACAAATTGCACTGCTATAAACACAGGTGCACCTATATGGCTGTGATATGAGGTTTTAGTTCTTCTGGAAAAATACTCAGGAGGGAAATATCTGGCTTAAGTGGGATCTCCAATCCTAGCTTTGTAAGGAATCTCCACACTGATTTCCATAGTGGGTATATCAGTCTGCATTCCCACCAACAGTGCAGAATGGTTCCTTTTTCTCCACATCCTCTCCAGCATTTGTTATGACTGATGTTAGGCATTCTTTCTGGGTAAGATGGAATCTCAGTGTTGTTTTACTTTGCATTTATCAAATGACAAATGATGTTGAACATTTTTCATATATTTACTTGTTATTTGTATTTCTTTCTCTGAAGTGTATGTTCAATTGCCAGTTAAACAGAAGACCCAATGCTATTATGGGCTACTGGACTCTTTTAGAATATTTTGCTGAGTTTACACACCTATAATATTTAATAACGGAACTTAGAAAAAATGGGGTATACTGATGAATGTCCATTTTGTATCTGTGTATTCAAAGTGGTTAGGATAGACATATAGTTGCATTCTCTTAATGAATAGAATGATTTGTTCTAATGGTGTTTGTAAATAGGATCTCAAGTCCGCATCTTGTACAGCAATTAACCACTAAGAAGAATATATGCAGTGTATTATTTGTTGAAACTGTACTTCCGATTTGATTTGAAACTGTCTCATTGCTGTTTATCAATAAAATTTTGAAAAAAAAGAAGTCCACCACTGTAATAAACTGCCTCCTAAACCTCTAAAAAAAAAGTGTATGTTCATCTCAGATGCCCATTTTTGAATTGAGTTTTTGAATTGGGGGCCCCCGAATTTTTAAAATTCTTTATGTTCTAGATAGAAGGGCTTTGTCTGAGGGACAGTCAGCTATAAATTTTTCCCAGTTTGTTGGTTTTCTTTTTATTCTATTGGATACTTTGTTTGAAGTGCAGAAATATTTTCAAAAAGATGGGATTCCAGTTGTTGATTCTTTGAAGTATTTCCCATGCAGTTTGTTTTTTGTTTGTGAACTTTCTACTTATCCCTGTGTCTGTAAGATTTCTACCTACATTTTCCTCCAGAAGATTTAGTATTTCTCTCTTAATATTTAAATCTTTGATCCATTTTGACTATTGCTTTGTGCATAGTGATAGGCATGTTCTAGTTTGAGCCTTCAACATGTGGAAAGCCAGTTTTTTCAGCATCATTTTTTAAGGATGCTATCTTTCTTCCAGTGAAGCTGTTTGGCCCCTTTATCAAAGATAAGGTGGCTGAGTGCATTTGCAGTTGTGCCTGCATCTTCTCATCTGTTCCATTGTTCCTCAGGTCTCTCTATGCCAGTGCCATGCTGACTTTATTACAGTAGCTTTATAGTTTAATTTCAGGTCAGTGATTGTGATACCTCTTGCCTTTTCTTTGTTTCCCATGATTGCTTTTGATATTCTGGATTTCTTCTGACTCCTAATGAATTTGAACAGAGTTTTCTCTAGTTCTGTGAGGTACACTAATAGTGTTTTAATTGGGATTGCATTGAATCTGTATAATTTTGGGAGTATGGCCATTTTCACAATGTTTTTTCCTATCCAAAAGCATGGAATATTTTTTCCATTTTCTCAAATCTTCAATCTTTTTTCTCAGAGTACCATAATTTTCACTGTATAGAACTTTCACATCCTTTGTAAGATTGATTTCTAAGTATTTCATTTTTTGAATGTTATTGTGAAAGGTGTGTCTTCCCTAATTTCTCTCTCAGTGTGCTTATTGTTTGTGTACAAAAGTGCTACTGATTTTTGGGTGTTGACTTTGTATCCTGCTACAGTTGCTGAATTTGGTGATTAAATCTACAAGACTCTTGGTGGAGATTTTGGGATCCTCTATGTAGAGTATCAGAACATTCATTATTTTTTATTCACTCTTGGTAGACTTTAAATTGTTGACAGTTTGGGAAATTGAAATAATGCTGTTAAAAATCTTGTGGGGCTGCAAGTCTAGGCAAGTGGTAGAGTGTTTGTTGAATATATGTAAGTCCCTAGGTTTGATCCCTGCTCTGTAAAAAACATACCTACCTCTAACATAATTATACACACATATTTATTTGGTATATAGTTAGGAGTGGGATTTATGGCTATATATATATATATATATATATATATATATATCTTTAAATTTAGTAGATTATGCAAACTTCTGTGCTTTTGTAAATGATAGTATTGGTTTAACCTCCCATCAGCCCTGTATGAGAACTTATACTAATCTTCCACAAAACCTGGCATGAACACTTTTAAAATTATAGCCATAGTATGCACTAGACAGTGATCTTTCATTCTGTTTTTTCTTTAGGGGGAGTTGTGGTGATAGAATCTAAGGCCTTCACATTGAACTATATTCTCAGATCCCCGTTTTAAAAGCTTTTATTTTTTAAAAATAAAAAAATGAAACAGCTTTTCAGAGTTCTGGAATTACTGATGAGTGGCAAAATGAATTACAATTCATTGTGAATTGAACTTGCAATTTTCTGTTAATGAGTTTAGATATGAGTCCTTTGTTGGTTTTATGTTACAGATATCTTCTCCCACTTTGTAATTAGTTTTTAATTAATATTGTTGAACAGGTGCTATTGATGTGTCACCCACTTCTCTGGAATTCACATTTGTGCAAGGAAAATTTCTTGTTGGAAGCTGAGACTGTGCCTGAGGACTTTTTCTGTCCAAAAATATGCCTCCAATGCTTGTGGTCTGCTTAAAAATCTTTATTTAGGCCAGTGTCTTGATTGTGATTTATGAAGATGACTGATGACATGGAACAGCTAATGGCACTGAAAGGTTTATAATTTACATTCCCCTAGAGGAGAGGTCACATCAGGCAGGGCCTATGTAGGGAGGTCCTATGGTTAGTCAGGAGGAGGAAGGAATAAGGCGAGGACATAGGCAAAGCCTTTATTACTGCAGTACCAGGAAGTTATCAGGTAGAGATTTTCCCTGTGTCTCAGCAGGAAGTGAAACACATGTTGAACTTTGCAGAGTTGGTAATGTGATTTCTATGCATCCAAAAAGCCAGATTGCAGGAAAGATGAAACAACTTTGGCTGTTAGTTTGGCTGTGCAATTAGTGGCTGCCAAGTCATCAATTACAAAAATCTGTATAAGTTGGACCACTCAAGGCCATGACCATGCTCTTTGCTATATTCCAGATATTTTATTGTTTTACTTTTTGTATTTAGAACTAATTTTATGTGTGTAGGATAAGGCAAGTACCACATTTTTCTTTCTCATACTGATTCATAATTGTATTCTTAGGTTTTATGGCAAAGCCCTTTGCTGCTGTGCTGCAGTCATACATCAAGTGCCTGTATATACTTGGGTCTATTTCTAGAGTATTTGTTTGGTTTCATTCATCTCTCTGGCTGTTCTGTGCCAGAGTTTCTTAATTACTGTAATTTTATTGTAACTTTATTTCTGTAGAATTAGCTCTTCAACCTTGTTTTTTTAAAGGCTATGTTGGCCATTTTTTGGATTATTTCTCTTTGGAAATAATGAAGATAGGTTGTCTTATACTGAGTGAATTTTCGTTATTTTAGTCTTCTAGCAAGTTTCAGAGATGCTTTGCAAGAAAGCACGAGATTATATCTTTGGAGGCTAACACCATTCATTATGGTATTTCTTGAAAATTGAGCTATATAATTATAGTAAACTCTTTTTATTAGTCAACTGGGCCTGTTATAGTAAGCCAGTAATTTTTAGGCTGGCATTCTCTAGGCTGCCATCCTGGGTAGGCTGATGTATAAAAGTATACAGAATATGTAAGAGCTGGTTCGAGAGGAAAACCCGTTTTTGTGTTAAGTATTTGTGTTATACACATTTGGATTATTTTTTTTAACAGGTTAATGCAGCTGAATCAAAGATAACAAATTTAATATACTTAAAACATACCTTGGAACTTGTGGATCCTTTAAAGGTAATTTATATGTGTATATATTATAGAAATATGTTTTTGTGTGTAAAAAATATTTGTGCTTAGAGAAAGTTGTAGGAATAGTGCAATTTCTATTTTTCTCTTTATGTGTATATCGTATATATACATTATTATATTTATTATTAAATCTTATGTTCAGTACCCAAATACTAATATACCTACAAGGAATGATCAAAAATATGGTAAATGATTAAAATTTTAAAGAATTTACTGCCATAGAGAATACTTTGTCATTAATCCTCCTGAAATATTCCTGCTTGCTTCAAGTGCACTTCCCCTGTTATTCCTGCCACTTCCTGAACAGTTCTGTGAGTCCTCTTTCAGGAATGTCTCTATAAGGCTGGGTCAAAGCTTTGGCAAATGCTAAGGCCCAGCCACATGGTAAGTGAGGCTTTTGAAAAGACTCTGTGTCCTCATCCACCTTATTCACCAGATCTGGTACCACACAACTTCTAGATTTTTTGTTAAAGTCAAAATGACTATGAAAAGTAAACATTTTGGAAAATTCAGCATGTTAAAACAGTTATGATAGTGCAAATACTTTCATGAAAAAAGCACTTTCAGAACTGCCTTAAAAAGTGGCAAGAATGATGAAAGAAATGTGTCCAATAGGATGGAGAATATTTTAAGAGGGATTAATGGCAATGTGTCCTTTACTGTAATACATTTTTATAGATTTATAATTCACCATAGTTGTTGATTATACTGCCTATCTTTTACTGATACACAAAGACATTCTCTTATATGATGACAATATAATATTAAAAATTGAGGTATTTTGTATTAATATAATACTATAACAGTATATTTGTCATATTCAAATGTTTAAAATTGTCTTATTATAACTTTTTTATGATATACATTCCAGTCAACAGCCATGCATTGTATTTCAAATGTTTAAACTTTTTCAAATTGGGAAACTTTCTCCATCTTTCTTCCATAATATTGTCATTTTGAAGAAATGAGTGATCAATGAGGCAAACAACTTCCTAAACAGCTAGCGAGAATATAAACTTTACTCACTGGAATAATGACAACATATATCTTATGATCCTGTAAAAGTATGTTTAGAAATCTTACTGAAAAAATCTTTAAGAAATATTGACCAAAATTTATGTCCAGTGATGGTCATTGCAGTATTATTTCTGATGAGAAATTATAAAGTAGACTTCAGTGGCTGGGGGACAAGACCATTTGCTTTTCACATGATGAAATGGGATGAATTATTTGCTACAAAAATTTCTCTTATGATGTAATAATAAATGGGTATAAAAGAAACGTTCATGATGATACCAATTGTATGAATAAATTATATGAATTTATTTTAGAAAGAGACAGAAAATATATTTTGTGGAAAGTTTTGTTTGCAGTACTGGGGACTGAACTCAGGAAATTGAGCTTGCCTGGCAGGCAGTTATGCCACTGAGCTATCTCCTCAACCCTAAGAAAATATATTTAAGATGTTCATTTTTGTAGGGATAGTGCTTTTTTTTGTTTTGTTTTGTTTTGTTTTTTTAGTGGTACCAGGGATTGAACTCAGGACCTTGTGCTTGCCAGGCAAGCACTTACTCCACTGAGGTATCTCTCCATCCTCAGGATAGTGGTATTAAGAGTGGTTTATTTCCTTTGCACTCATGTAAACTTTCTAGTTTCTATCAGAATTTACATATGCTTTTTTCTATTTAAAAGCACAAGGCAAATGTCAGAATAATTTTTTTCATAATAAAAAATAAAATTAAAAAGTTTACATTAACTGGTTTCTCCTTTTTTTCCTGTTTATTTACAAATAAAAATAAAATGAAAAGGTCACATTAACTATGGTTTATCTTTTTTTCTGTTTATTTATTAGTGATCACTCAGTTTCCATTACTAAAAATAAAATTCCTGTCTTTGCTGTATATGGAGAAATTGTTGTATTTATAAATAAAGCACTTTTAAAGTTTAACATATTTCTGTCCCTATTTTAAGATTATATGTACTCTAAATTACAGAAATAGCTATTTAAATACCCACTGCTATATGTAATTAGATGTTAACAATTAAGAGACAAGAAAAATAGAAGCTATAATAGAGGTAGCACTATGTGCTCTTTATTTGGCTGGGGAGATAGCTCAGTTGGAGAAGTGCTTGCCTGAGTTCAATTCCTGGTTCTGCAAAGAAACAAAAAAAAAAAAAAAAAAAAAAAGAAAGAAAAAAGGAAAAAAAGAAAATGAAGACTCAGTCTCTCCTTACCTGTATACCTGAATTATTTTATATGCACAAAAATGAAAAAAATAAAGCAAGAAAGTACTTTGTAAACTATAGAGTATTACACAGATACTAATTTCCAAGTTTCAGTAACATCATAATTTCTTATGCGTATTTTTTATTTTATTCTTTAACAGATTTCTCTGAAGAACTGTACCACACCTTTATTAAGAGCATACTATGGTTCCCTGGAAGACATGAGGTCATTGTTGCTCCAATGTTAATAAACTATCAACTTATTATTCTTTTTTATAATAACTAATTTTAAATACTTCCATGTGTTCTATAGAACAGCTACTTTTTGGATAAGGGCACTCTTTAAACATTCATTAAATTTCTAATTATATATTCATCTTATTAGCGCAGTAAATAGAATAGTGGTACATCAATTATTTGCACTAAGAGCAGCATGAGGAATCAAACTCCACGGCCAATTTTCATATTTCCTGTTGTAGTCACTTTCTATTGAAAGACCTGAAAGTATAAAAATACATTCCTCTTCTTTCATAAATCAGGAAACTCCTAAGGTAACCAAAATTAATAGATAAGAATGCTGAATAAATATATAATTATTTTAATAAATATTTATTGAGCTCCTATTACCGGTAGACATGGCCTTGGAGACTAGGAATACAGAGGGAGCATGATAAATCTCCTGTCCTCAGAACTAGTATTTAAGTCTAGTTTAATACTATTGAGTTAGGAGCAATAATTTTAATTTGATACTTCACTAAAAAGATACTATTTTATTGATTCAAGAGTGATAGATAAAAGAGATCACAAACTAAAGTTAGTAAAACCAGGTTAATTACAAATAAAATACAAATCAGAACAAAAGAAAAGTTTAGGAAAATAGGTGTCACCAGGTTTCTGGTTTGCATACGTATTGCATTGCTCATAGCTGTGAGGTTCCTTTTATGCCATCTCACGATACGTGTTTCATCTCTCATGTCTTTGCTGAGGACAAGGGCTGTGTGCTCTTTGGCTTTCTGCACCTATCGAAGCTCTGGCTACGTGTTGTGTATGAGCACAAAGCCACAATTTTTATAATAGTTCTTTAGGATTATATCTTGCACTTACAGACAAAAATCAGTATTATAATTTGGGAGATCTGTATATATTAGCAGGTTTTAGAATGCTCTTGGAGGGTTCATACTATTTTAGACTACTTTTGACTGATGAAATAATTTAAACCTGATATAGTCACTACTGTAATATATGTAAATTAAATATTTACAGCTTAATTATTTCAAAATAGTTCTCAACAAAAGTTTGCTATGATTAACATGAACATGAATCATGTAACATGGTGCATGTTATAAATTTAAATAGTATTTTGACTTACAATCTATTAATTTTTTATCTTAATGTTAGGTTTGGAATCATACTTGAAAAGATTAAAACAGTAATTAATGATGATGCAAGGTACATGAAAGGATGCCTAAATATGAGAACTCAGAAGTGTTATGCAGTGAGGTCTAACATAAATGAATTTCTCGACATAGCTAGAAGGACATATACAGAGATTGTAGACGACATAGCAGGTAATGTATTGCAGTATAGTTTTTTCCCTGATTTTTATGAGTAAAATAACTTCTTGGGGGATCCTGTTTGATAATGTGTCACACATTTTTTTTTATTCCAAAATAGGTCACATAAACACATTGTGCTTAAGGAGTCTTTTCTTCTCTTCCTCCTCCTCCTCCTCCTCCTTCTTCCTCTTGTTCTTTTTTAAAAAATAATGTGTTATTTCTCTCCTTTTCCCCAAACATACTTTCATCCAACATTGTGTATAAATTATATTAAAAATGTAGGCTACCAACACTGAAGGAAAGATTTCAGCAGTGAGACATCAGTCTTATCAGGAATAGGTGGTTTTTATCCAGGCCACTGATTTAAAAAAAATTTAAATTTTTATTAGTACATGTTTGCAGCACATAATGATTATCTTTATCATTGGGACTCAGTACATATGTGTAGCACATCTTAATTCTTTTTATGTCATCTTCTCTACCTTACCCATTCTCTTCCTCTGTCTCTTGGTCCCTTTTGCATTTACAAAAGTAATTTTTTAATTAAATATTTAATGAGCTTCCACTATGTGTAGACATAATATAGATCCTGGAAATATGTAGTGAATGTGACAGAGTTCCTGTGCCTTGGTACACAAAGGTAATATTATAATGGGGAGGCAGACAATATAAAAAAATTCATTCATGAAAACATATATATGTGTGTATACATACATTAATATTGATAGATTTCAATCCCAGATACTATAATTTCACATGGATGTAAGATATACAAAGAAGGGCCGGCCAAATAGCTCAGAGGATTAAAATGCCTGTAGGCAGACACTGGGGCCAGGAGTTGGATCCCTGGGCCTGCTGTGCCAGCCCCACCCCCAGGGTGCACTGAGATGGCAATTGAGACTGGGCATGGTGGCACACGCCTGTGATCCCAGCACTTGGGAGGCTGTAAACAGGAGGATCACTATGAGTCCGATCTACTCAGTGAGACCCTGTAGAACCTATGGACCCTGCCCTAAACACACACACACACACACACACACACACACACACACACACACAAAAGCAAAAAACCCAAGATATACAAAGAAAAATGTAGCAGATTAGAGGAACCTGAAGGTCAAATAGAGGACTTCTACCATTAGCAATAAATCCAGCTGAGGCACAGAAGCAAAGAGACTTGAAAGAATAAGTGAGAAAATCTGATAGGTTGAAATCAGACAGTCCCTCGCAGCACTCATGAGAGATAACAAGAAATGTAGATCTAGATCCAGAAATTAGTCTTTGAAGCTAGGAGTGTGAATTTTTTCCATAGTAGCAAGAAGAGGTACCAAGATGATTTTGCCTTACCAAGTGAAATTTATGTAAAAACATGTTTAATGAACGTGAGTGAAATGGAGACAAGGACAGCAATTCAAGCTGTGGTAACCTAACATTACTTAGGATGATAGCAATGTGCATGAGTCATGAAGGATGCAAAGATTAAAAGAAAAAAAGATAGAATTTAATTATGAAGTAGGTACTGCCCTGCTAAAGGTAAACATTGCACTAATGCTAAATGATTTTTTTGGCCCCAAGGATGATTGTACCATAGAGAAAAGCAGAAAAATCTGAAGGAATTGTTTTGAGTAATGAAGATGTTGTTTTCAAGTAATGTTCAAAATTAATGGTCATAAAATTAGAGATGAAATTTAGAATCCTGTAATGTGTGTGAAGTTGGCAGAAATACTTAGGTTTCTTTAAAAGACATATTACTTGGTGAACCTCCTATGTATTTGAAGAAGTATCTTGTATTATAAAATAAGTTTATAGAGGGACTTTCTTATTATGAGTTAATGATCTCAATAATTAATGTGACTATTCTCTTTTATGAAAATGGAACAACATCAAATATGTATATAGCACAGTATACAATAGTACTTTAAAATGTTTTATTATTTCTATTCCTTTAAGAATACCTATCAGTATAAATGTGTTTACTTTTGTTTTTAAGAACACTTTGCACATCTTTTGAACATTAAAAGCTTAAAGTTTAAAAAGTAACAATATCTTATTCATAAAATATAGGAAAAATGACTTTAAATGGAAAGAGTAATATTCTCATTAAAATTCTTTGGTTTTATTTTGTTCTTTCTGATCACTAGGAATGATATCACAGCTCGCAGAAAAATACAATCTTCCTTTAAGGACAAGTTTTAGCTCTGCTCGAGGATTTTTTATCCAGATGACAACAGATTATACAGCGCTACCCAGTGACCAGCTTCCTTCTGAATTCATCAAGGTTCACTCTAGAGTGAATAGGAGATTACTGCTTATGCGTTTGTGACCATATCTGCGTGCTTTCCCAACTCCCTGTAGTGTACATTGCTTCTCTTCCTACTCCAGCCCACCTGTGCACCAGCTAAGAGTGATTTAGGAACTCAGAGAAAAACAAAACTCACTGTTTCCCACAGTTTAGGAGCTTGGGGTGATTTTAAAAAAGTAAATGAGGAAAAAGGTTCATAAGGTATTTTGGTAAGGTAGGAAAATAATACTGCATCTTTTAAGTACTGCTTCAGACACATTTGCCTATTAAAGATTTTTCTAGAATCTTAGAGTAAGGAAATTTGCTTGAATTTTTAGATCTAACATTTCATAACATTTGGATCATAGAAATACTTTTTCTTTTTGAGAGGAGACAGGCAGGCCTTGAGTTCACATTGATCCTTCTGCCTCAGCCTCCCAAGTGCTGGGTTTATGGGTGTGCAGCCTCCCCCTCCCCCCTCCCCTAGCTGGTAATACTTTTTTCTGCATATACTAGCTTGAGAAAGTCTAACTCACTTTGTTCTTTGCTATCTTTGGTTCAAAAGGGTACTTCTTGACAAAAACAATTTAGCTTTCAAATTTACACACACACACACACACGCACACACACACACACACTGTTACTAAGCAAGGAGGAATGGATAAAATAAAAAATGGGTGGAATGGGGCTAGTGATTGAGTGGCATTCATATATGAAGGTCTATCATGCATATTATTCATTATATAAAATGTATTATTTAGCGATTTCTGCAATGATATTTAAAAACTTGTAAAAATAGTCACATTGGCTGGCATAGGTTAAAATCCCTGCCATATACTTTGAAATTATCATCTATTTATAGTTCACACATTTTAGAACTTTCTTTATGATAATATAGCTCAAAAATTAAAGTAATTAATCCAAATATCCATTTTTATTGTATAGATCTGTGTTTTATTTCATATGCATGTGCATATATCTTGACATTTGTTTCATGATTTCTTAACAGATTTCTAAAGTGAAGAATTCTTACAGCTTTACATCAACGGATTTAATTAAAATGAATGAAAGATGCCAAGAGTCTTTGAGAGAAATTTATCACATGACTTATATGTAAGAACATCTGAAATATTTGAATATTGAATTAAATTGTATTAATGTGAAGAACTATAAATAAATTTTATTTATTGACCCTTTGTCTCATTATAGACAATTATAGAATTATGAATGTTAGGGAAGTAAGTTTATCATTAGGATAAGGCACAAGCATCACAGAAGCTTCCAGAAAAATCCAATTACAAAAGTTATGTTTCTGTAATACGCATTTCATCATGATGTATAACTTGATATATCTTGGACTTCACTCACTTTCTTCTTTTCCTATGGTGTTTAAGTCCTCAACAACATTACAGTAGTGCCACTTCTTCTGCTGCTCATGAAAGAATAACAGTGTCCTTAGAAGAATAGAATGTTTAGATTGATGAGCTCAGGTAATAAAGAGAAAATCTGGGATTTCAGAACAATTTCAAGCTGTGAACCATAGATATAACCTTTCCACATAAAAATTACAGTATTCATGGTATAGAATTAGTGCATGTGTGTGAGAAACAAAGAGATAAAAACACACAGAAATAGGGAACTGATATTGAAGCTAACATTTGCAAAAACAAAATTGTTAGCAGATTCTCTCCAAATAGAATTAGGACTTAATTCAACCCGTATGAAATATTTTATTAATAAAAGATTTTTATGACTACTTAATGAAGGTGGTCATTTCAAGAACATGGTGTTAATACACCAGAAGGTGGATTTTTTTTGTCACTAAGTGAGACCCTGAGAAAGAACATTAATTTTCTCATCTAAAACAAGGCAGTTGAACAATGACTTTACTTGTACTGTATAACTTAACCATGAATATTATTTTACCTCAAGCAAAGAGTTTAATATTATTTTGTGATATATTGAATGTTTTTTAAAGAGCTTTATATGTTTACCCAACATGTACTTTCAGGGTCGTGTGTAAACTGCTCAGTGAGATATACGAACACATCCATTGCCTGTACAAGCTCGCTGACACTGTGTCCATGCTGGACATGCTGCTGTCATTTGCTCATGCCTGCACTCTGTCCGACTATGGTAATGTACTTTCTTCAGAGTAACAATGCTGCATACTGCAATGTATATTCCATTCAAAAGCCATATAAAATAGTTATAAGTATTTTACATATTTACTTGAGATGCAGTCTTTTGCCTATGGCCTAGAATACATAAAATAAAGTGAGCAAAATTACCCTTAAAATTTCTTTCAGCATTCAAAGAATTACTCATTTAGAAATCAGCAAATGAAAAAGAAATGCAAGAACTTTTAAGGGTTTTTGCATAGAAGGCTGCAAAGCTGTCTTCTTGGTGAAAATGGCACTGATCCAAATTTGTAAAGTTTACATCTGAATATTCAAAGGAACAGTGTGACAAATCCTAGGTAATGCCTCAGTTGCTGAATGGCCCTGCACCCAGACTTTCCACTACTCCTACAGAAAAGCTAAAAAAAAATCTATTTGGTGTTCATAACTTTGCCCGACAGTGCAACTGAAAATCAACTTGAAATCTGTGTGAGGCGAGGTGGGTGGCATATGCCTGTAATCCCAGAACTTGGAAGGCTGAGGCAGGAGTATTGCTGTGAATTGAAAGCCAGCCTGGGCTACGTAGTGAGTTGAAGGCCAGCCTGAATTACATACTGAAACCTTGTCTTAAAAACCAAATATATAATACATACATATGTGTGCACATACATACCTGTGTAGGCTGAGAGTGAGTCATGTGGTGCATCTTTCCAGTGACTTAAAGGGGTGATGCCTCAGTCTAAATGCTGGTGTCACCCAGACACATAGTGGACTGTGGAAGATGTTTTAGACAGGTGCCAAATTATGACCTCAAATCCACTTATTTATTGCAAGCGAAGTGCAAGCATTGCAACTAAGCCTGAATAACAAGTTTTTTAAACATTTTATTTATTTATTTTTTATGGAAGGGTCTACAGGGTGTTCAGGGTCTCACTACTAGATCAGGCTCATAGATCTGCCTGTTTACAGCCTCACAAGAGCTGGGATTTCAGGCTCACGCCACCACGCCCAGTCTCAATTGCAGTCTCAGCATGCCCTGGGGGTGGGGCCAGCTTGGCAGGCCCAGGGATAGAACTCCCAGCCTCTGAGCCTGCTTGCAGGCACTTTAATCTGCTGAGCTATTTGGCAAACCCTATAACAAGCTTTTTAATATGAAAAGCTCTACATTAACATCTTTGTCCTAGAAGAAAAATACAATAACATGATTGTGTGCCATGGGTTTTACACCATTGATATAATGCTTCTGTGATTTTTAGGCCTCAGGACTGATTATTTGGTTTTCCATTATTTCTTCAGGAAACATATGTCAGTTCTTTGACCTTTTCAGTGTTCAAATACAAATTTAGAATGAATTGAGATTGAAAACCAAAGTATCACAGTAGAGAAAGGGATGTCCATAGTCAGAATTTTCATCTACTGACTCTTTAAATATGTGCATTCTAAAATCAGGAATATATCTTTACTTCTGTATTCTAAGTCTACCCACAGGCCTTGAATACAAATTTAAGCAATTTTTAAATATTGAAGAGTACTTTAATCAAGTTAGCCCCTTGAAATTTCTTATCCAACTTGTCATTAATAACCTTATTTTAACATGTAAATTTATAGACCTAATATGTGATTATGCTTGAATAATTATAGACTTAATAACATTAAAAACACTAAAATCTCTAATCAGTAGTATCATTTCCAAATTATTATGTTAATTTATTTTTTGTAAGATATATCTTGTAAGAATTTTCTTGACATTTCCTTATTTCTTATGAAAATGTCAACTTTTCCCACTGATTTTATGTACTAAAATTTCTAAATCTTTTATATCCCTGGGAGTAAAAATCTTAGGGATTTTGGCTATTCTAGTAGTAGTATTCCTTTTTTTTTTTTTTTTTTTTTTTTTTATGGAACCGGGGATTGAACTCAGGCCCTTGTGCTTGCCAGGGAAGCGCTTATTCTGAGCCATCTCCCTGGCCTCTATTAGTAGTATTCTTAACTATCGAGATTTAATTGTTTCATTTTAGTTTGAAAGTAATCATACTTAAATTTTAAAACATAATGAATATTTTAAGAGCTCTTTGTTTTTTTTTTTTCCAAATAACTACTTTCATATTGAATGTTTTCCAGTTTATCCATGAATTTGATTTAGAGGTGTGTAGCATTTTAGTTTTTACTTGTCTTTCTAGCATCTTCATTTTCTTGCTAACTCACATAGTGTCCATGAAGACCTTATCATTATTTGTTTTTCTCAATTAGCAAATCTTTTTTAAAAAACTGTTGCAATTTTTTTTTTTTCTTTTTGCTATCCAGAATCAAACTCAGGACCTTGCATTTCTAGGTAGGCATGTGAGCCACTGAACTATATCCCCAGCCCCTTAAATGAATGAATCTTTTGCATTTGCTCTATCCTCCGAAGTTTCATTTTATACAAAGTTTCCCCAGGGAGTGGACAGAAAATCATATTTGTTTTTCCCTATATTTAAACCCTATTTTAAAAGCAAAGTATGACCAATTTAAAATAATGTTTAAGTTAGGTTAAACAAATTGTCTTTTCTGTTGTAAAATTTAAAAAATAACATCAATGATTACTTGGGTCTTTAATTGAAGTTATACAAACCTGAAATTTTTGTAAGCTAATTGAATCCCAAAACAGTATCAAGGAACTAAATTAAATTTCTCTGAAGTGAATATGATAAAAGTGATTAGAATGTATTCATTAAATTTTTAGGGGGTTGAGGTGGTGATTTTGGATTAAATAATACATTAATATTATTGTCCCAAATTGACTATGATAAAAATCACTAATGTATCTACAGTAGTAACATTCCATAAAATTTTCAGATATAAAAATATTAATTTTAGAATTCATCCTGTGTTTTTCTTCAGTCCGACCAGAGTTTACTGATACTTTAGCAATCAAACAGGGATGGCATCCCATTCTTGAAAAAATATCCGTGGAAAAACCAGTTGCTAACAATACCTATATAACTGAAGGCAGTAACTTTTTGATCATAACTGGACCAAATATGAGTGGGAAGTCCACATATTTAAAGCAGATTGCTCTTTGTCAAATTATGGCTCAGATTGGTAAGTTCTGATTTTACTTTATAGTTATCAATTCTGCTGGATTTTCAAATACATTGTGCTAAGGATTTTAAATTTAGGTACCTAAGCAAAGCTTGGAGATTCTCTTATTAAAAGGCATAGTAATATATCCATTATGTAGACTATATATTTTACTAGTGGTATTTCTAAAGCTTCATTCTATTTGGATTGCATTTCCAAATTTCAACAGTGTGACATTCATTTTGGAATATTATGGAACGAAAAGTTTCCTCACTGTAATTATGAATGTTGTATCAGTTATTACTATATTGAATCATGAAATTATTTCAGGTTTAAAAATGAACTTTGTTATGAAAAAAAAGAAATGAGTAAGATAAACCTCTGTCTTTAATAAACCTTGTGAGATTTTCCCAAAATTCTAATTTTAGCAAAGAAACTTCCCTTAACTTGAGGAGTACAAGTAGTGATTGGGTTACTAATGTGTACATACAGTATCTTCCTACATGCGTATAAATGGCTGGCATTGGCCCAGCATTGTCACAGCGTGACTAAACTCCAATCTCTGTAAAGTGGGTTTCCTTAAGTACAATATGGATCAGAAATGAGGGATTTTTTTTTTTGCTCCCAATGCCCCAGGGCAGGTTTGGCTGGCTTGAGCTGTGGGGATCGAACCACAGCAACCTGAGCCTGACTGCTTTGTTGAAGCAGCCACTTAAAGAACTGAGCTAAGGGGCAGGCCCCCTGGATCAGAAATGAGACTCTTGGCTTAGTACAGTAGTTCTTAACCAGGGGTGGTTTGGATTTCCTACCCCTCAGCCCTAGAAACTTGGCAATGTCTGGAAACACTTGATTGTCACAACTAGGAGTTATGTCCAAGGATGCTGCTAAACATCCAACGGTGCACAAGATAGCTGCCTCCTCTCTCCCCTTCCCCATTCAGCAGTATGTAAGAAAGATATTGAGCCCAAAATGTTGGTAGAGTTGTGGGTGAGAACCCCTGGCCTAATGTTAAGGATTATAAGGAAACATAGCAATAATCTGAGTAATGCAGAGCAAATTCCCCTTTACTTCTGTGCAAGGAATCAGAAATCAGTGAATGAATGAAGATCGAGTTATCTTACTGAATTTAGAATTTTTTTTAGAATTAAGAGGACATCTTAGCTACTTTTATTTCCATTATAAGAGCTATCTGGTTTATATGTGATGTAACACTTCTATTTGAGTAACTATAAGGAGCTTTCTTTTTTGAAACACAGGGTGTTTATGTGTAGAGATCTCTGATTATTAAGGCATTCATGGTATAGGAGTGAAATCTGACTTTTTGGGCCAGCAAGATAACTCAGCCGACTAACGCCTGCTTAGGCAAGCACAGGGACTCAAGTTCCATCTGTGGTACTCCATGCCGTGCTGACCCTGCCCTCTGGGTGTGCAGAGCTGGCGACTGAGTCTGGGCATGGTGGTATACACCTGTAATTCCAGCACTGGGGAGGCTGAAAATAGGAGGATCGCTATCAGTCCGACCTGAATAGTGAGACCCTGTACCAAAAAAAATGACTTTTCATAACTTGTACTTATTAATATTAATTATTTTCTTTTGTGTATCACAGAATAGCTTAGTCTTTCCGATAGTGGTCCTTCAAATATTTGAAGATAATTATTCTACTTCTCTTGTCACTATCCATTTGAAATCTCTGAAACACCTTAAAGTTTGTGTCATATCTCATAAGGTCTTAGGGCTCAGCAAACAATGGGATTTGAAGGGCATTGAAGTTAACAGTGCATACTTCAGAGGTAAATCTGCATTGTCCAGTTGCTAGCTGTGTAATCTTAAGCAAATTGCTTAACCTTTTAAGCCTTAGTTTTCCTAAATGCAAATTATGATTACAATAGAACCTAATTATAAGAATTTCTATAAGGAGGGAGCCATGGAGCTGGCTCAGTATAATAAGCACTTGCCTGGCAAGTGCAGTGTAAGGGACTGAGTTCAATCCCCAACATATCGAACAAAAAACAAACAACAACAACAACAAAGGACTTCAATAAGGAGTGAGATAATGTATATAATATGCTACAAGTTGAAGGTGAAGACAAGAAAGGAGAGAACTTTACAGGCATAAGAAAAATAGTGAGACTGGGCGTGATGGCATGCACCTGTAATCCCAGCTCTTGGGAGGCTGTAAATAGGGGGATCACTAGGAGTCTGATCTAGTAGTCAGACCCTGAACACCTCCTGGTTTTGTAGTTCTTTTGTGTGTTTGAGCAAAAAGAGACTGATTAACCATGAGAAGTGGCAGAATAGCCACACAAACTGATAGGAATTATATCATAAAAGGCCTTCAGCACTTAACTGAAGGCACTGAACTTTATCCAGCAATCTATGGGGAGATATTGAGGAAAGTTAGCAAGAGAATGGCATGACCAGATTTTACCCAGATCACTCAGGGTGATTATAGACCAGAGCCAGACCAGAAGTAAAACCCCAGCCAGAAGCCTTTGAAGCCAAAGTATGATTGGGAGATATGATTACAAGTTTTAATAACTTTAGAAATTTATAAGTGAAAGACACATTGTCATTAATCCACCTCAGTTTTCCCCTTAGCTTTGAACATATTTAGTCCACCATTCTTGCCCTTTCTGAAGCAGTTCATGAAATTTTCTTGTATCACTGTCTTCAGTTTCACTGCTGGGCTGCGTCAGTGTCCTCAGTTAAATGAAAACATTCACCTTTCATCATTCTGACGTTGAGGCAGAGCCACAAGTCACGTGGCGACAGATCTGATGAATGAGGTGAATGGGACACATTTTAATATATTTTACAAGCCTGCCTTTCCAGAGCATTCATTTTATTTATTTACTTATTTATTTATGGTACTGGGAATCTGACTCAGGACTTGTGCTTGCCAGGCAGGCACTGCTCCACAGTGCTGTATCCCTGGCACTCATTATATCTTTGATTACACGTCATAAAGACTTATGAATGAGGACTTCTAGAAGTGAGTGTGTTTGAAGCAGAGGAGAATGTTTTGAGGGGGATAATGACAATTTGTATTTTACTGTTTTAAAAATTCGTCATCTATTTTGGTTACTTCTTGTGGATAGAAATGTTGAAGAGCTTTTTGGTGGAGGCCGAGAGGAGAAATGCAAACACAGCAGTATTCTCTGCCTGTCACTGTCACCTTCATTTTTCCATTGAGTGTTTCTCAAAACCATGTAAAAAAGTTCTGTTTAAGAGTTCAATAAGTTTTGTTCTTGAGAACTGAGTTCATGTCTGTTTTATTTACCCCAACACAAGTAGACCTTTAATAAACATTAAATGTCTACATAATGAAGAAGTCATGTTCAAAACCTTCCCCACAGTCACCCAGTGTTCTCACTCACCATAATAGCTAATCCTGATATTTTATTTACTATGCCAGGAATTTTTTTAAAAAACAGAATTAAAAAAAGATGTTTGACATCATTGATCATTCAAAAAATGCAAGTTAAAAAACCACTGAGATTCTATCTCACCCCAGAAAGAATGGCTGTCATCATGAATCAACCAGTAACAAGCGCTGGTGAGGCTGTGGGGAAAAAGGACCACTTGTCCACTGCTGGGGGAGTGTAGACTGGTACACCCACTGTGGAAATCAGAGTGGAGATTCCTATGAAAACTAGGATTAGGGGTCCCATTCGACCCAACTATTCTTCTGAGTATTTTTTCACAAGATTTGAAAACATCATACCACAGACATATATATGCACCCATGTTTGTAGCTGCGTAGTTTGTCATAGCTAAATCTGGGAAACAACTCACTCACCTGAGGAATGGGTAAAAAAGATGTAGTACTCTTATACAATGGAGTGTTATTTAGCTATAAAGAAAGGTAGCTCAAGGCTTTCATAGGTAAATCTGTGCAACTAGAGATCGGGCACTGTTTTCTGTACCTTGCATATATTATTATAATACATGTATACCTGATGAATACTCATAAAAATTAGTGTCTTACTCTTACCTCCATATTGTATAGTAGTAAAGCACTGAGAAATAATTACACATTCCTTTTGTCAAAGATCACATAGCTTATAACAGGAAGGATTCAGATCCAGGCAGACTGACTCTAGACTTCTTTTCTCTACATTAACAAACTGTCTATTCTTCCCCCGAATATTAAGAAGGTAGCAGGTCATTCAAGGTATGCAGTATTGGAAAAATAGAATCTTGTTTTGTTTTGAGCCTGACAATTCTGATTCAAATTTTGGCTGTACTGCTTATTTCATCACTTATTTTTAGCAAATATTTTTCATACAATGGTGAGATATCAGAAGCTGCTATACTTTTGTAATCCCTGGTTTTAAAACAAATTTAAAAGTAGAGTAAATTAGCAGATTATTTTTGAGCAGAGAAAATGAATGCAAAAATGTCTAAGTATAGGAAGAGCAGTTACAATCATTATAATTATTATTATTAGTATTACTTTTAGCTCTGTTAGACTGACTTTTGGTTTCTTTTCCAGCTAATCTTACTTCTTAGAGCCAGCCTATATTCTCAGTCTTCCCTTTGTTTTAAATCCCAGAGTAATCTGGTGCTGTTGCCTTGCTCTAGTTATTTCACCATTTTATGGATCCAGAGTTTTGTGATAACTTTCCTTTTGTTCCACTATTTTATTATACATTTTATCTTTTTATGATATTAGAATGACTGTTATATTCCACTTTGTAGAGAGTTAGATACATTAATCAGACTGCTTTGTGTTCAAAAGATGAATATTTTAGGTTAACACAAGAGCTTTTTAGGTAAAAACAGTCTTGTGGATGAAAATTTATCTTTTTTTTGAATAAATGTTTTGCTTTTATTCTGTTTTTGGATATTTTTGCATATTTGTAGTAACATATTTTGTAATGCACCTTTTTAAAAGGATTTGATCAACTGAGCTTTAATAGTATTTCTTCTAATTGCCCTACTTGAAGTATATTATTTAAAATTTTTATAACATTTAAAGTAATCTTTAAAAATAATCTTTGATGTAAACATTTACTGTCTTATTTGAGCTTCCAAGTAGCTTCATGCAGTAGGCAGGACAATTTCCATTTTAATAATGACAGAGATGAGACTGAGAGAATTTAAGTGGTGCTCAAGATTATGCAGGATGTGATAGCCATGGGACCAAATCGTCTACCTCCATTTCCTTTGCTCTTTCCAACTAAAGAGTTTGAGTAAATAAACTAGAAAGTGCAAATATTGATAATACTTACATTTACAAATATTTCAGTTCATTTTGACTTTATATTTTACAGGATCCTATGTTCCAGCAGAATATTCTTCCTTTAGAATTGCTGAACAGATTTTTACAAGAATCAGCACTGACGATGACATTGAAACAAATTCATCAACATTTATGAAGGAAATGAAAGAGGTACCCAGAGAAAACTTTTTGTTATGTTAACATTAACATTTTACATTAATGGTCCATTATCCTATAAGAAAGTATCTATATATTAAAACTTACAGATGAGCTTATACCTCTTCTGAGAGCCAGAGGGCAGTCAAAGACAGCATCTTAATTTCTGTTTTGGGTAGAAATGGTAGTCAATATTTTATGAAAAGTATAACTTTAAAAAGAAAAGGCTAATGTTACTGAATGATAAAAATGTGCTTACATGTTTTATACAGAACATTTTAAAGGCTTCATGGAGGAATGATATATTCAATATTATTTTGCATTGTATGTATTATTCCTGTAAAGCTTGTTTTTAAAGTAAAAAATAACTGTTCGAAAGCTTTTAAAATCATTCTGATTTTTGTCTTTAAGATTTTCACTTTCTATACCACAATACATATCTTTCCCTATTTCTAACTTCAGAAAACATTCAGTAGGCTTGAAGACTAAAGGAATTAAGTATGCCTCTTGGAAAAACTGTATTAAATAGGATTTGGGTCATTGTACAGTTGAGTAATTTTCTGCAAATAGAGAGGAGATGAATAAAACTATTTGTCACACAATTTATATATAATTGTCTAGTATTGCCAAGTGTCTGTGTGAGAATATAGCAATATTCTAGGTGCCTGAGGTACATTTTTGAACAATTCTAACCTTCAGAGACCTGGGTCCAAGAGAAAAGTAAAATGTTTATTAAAGTTACTGCTATGTTAAATATGATGTGGGCAGAATTCTATCTTCTGAGAAGGGAGTTAATATTCTCCGGGGAGAAAGGAGTGTTTTTGTCAGTTTAATTCTGAATCTGTATGGTGAAGGATTTAAATTTATTTGGTAAACAAAAAATTACCAAGATGTGGATACTGTTTCCTAAATTTTCTTTCCTTCTTTATTCACTATAGAGTGGTAGTAAATCTGATAGTAAATTTGTGAAATGGTTTTGAGCATTTCATGATAGTGATTAGTCATTTGTGGAGAAAAAAATGACCGTTTTTATGCTTTATTTGAACATTCAACTTACTGTTTTGTTTTATTTCACTCTTACCTAAAGCATCAATAATTCAGATAATGATTATTTACTCCTTGTTGTCTCATATACATGTGCATATGTCTATATATATCTTCCAGTCTTTCAGAATTATTGTAATGAGATTTTGAGAAAGAAAGGCAGTGAGTTATTTTCTGCTCAGCAGGATTTCTCTATTAAAATACATTTCAGGGGCCAGGGAAATGGCTCAGTGGAATAAGCGCTTCCCTGGCAAGCACAAGGGCCTGAGTTCAATCCCCGGTTCCGCAAAA